GTGTGTGTGTGTGTGGGTCCTGCTCATGCAGACAGTTGCGTACGAAACACAAACAGAATTCCTAGTTCCTGTGTGCTGTTGGTGCATCCAGCTTAACACTTTGACCAAATGGTGTTATGCAATATCAGTGGTTATGATTTTTCAAGCTGAAGTGCAGGTGGTTGGTTTCTGTGTGCTGTGTGGGAGCAAGTCAACTAGTGAATGGCATGTATGAGTGTGTGAATAAGACTAGACGTTTCTCTTGGTGCTGAGGTCTTTTTTTTTTACGTGAAAAGGGGGAAGTTTCCTTTGTACAGAGTTCACTCAGTAGTTGTTGTTGGCCATTGTTATGGGTAGAAATAGCTTTTTATGAGAATGTACTGACGAGTGGCACAGTGGACTGGTGCTTTCTACAGTATCCTCAACATGCAGGCGCTGTGAAGCACAGCGGTTTGAGATGGAAAAAAAACTACAGCTTGAAGAAGTTTGGGAAGTCTTAGAGTGGGAAACCCACGAAAAGTACTGAGGATTTAATTTCATACGAACATCATTTTACATCATTTTCATACAATAGTACTTTTCCTGGATCTTATTTCACTACTATAACAGCTTGAACTTGTTAAGCAGTGGAGGAATTAGTGTTGCATGGTGTGCTGGTACTACCAGTAAAACACTGCATTTATTTAAAAACAGGTTTTACGTGGGACCAGGATTATTCAGGATTATACAGTACCAGTCCTCTTATTGCTGTGCTAATTGCAAGATGTCAGTGTTGTATGAAAATGTGAGTAAAAGACGGACTTGCATAACATCGAAATGCGATCTGTTTTTATCTGTGTGGTCCTTAATGTGGATGTTGTTGTCAGGTTCTATTTCATCATAACAGGGGATATTGCATAAAGCAATGCTTTTTGTCCTTAAATCATCAAAGTGTTGGTACCTATCTATGCTTTACACGCAGAGGGATTCTGTGTTTTGCTCACGCTGTTGCCAGGAGACTCCCAGGGCTTTGATTTTGGAAAGCCTGAACGGACCAATCATCTGTTTGTTGTGGCTCCAGCCCACCAATCAGCTGTGAGTTTGTGCCCTGTGTGGGTGGGCTGCTCCTGTGTTTTTACAATACCTATCCACCTCAGTCTCTCTCTAGGGGGCGGGGGCAGGGTTGGCAATCAAGGCTGCTCTCTGCCAGTGTACTAGCGTGCATGAATGTGTGCATATACATATACATGTACTGTAAATACACACACACATATGATGATCTTCTAATATGTTTTCTGTCTTTGTTCTCTTTTGCTCTGTTCTGTTCGCTCTGAAAACTCATAAAAACAAGTCTGTTATGTGCATATAACTTAGTCTTACATACTGCAGCCTATCATACTTTCACACATTATTTTGGGTTTTTCCTCTCATGCACACAAACTCTTTACACTGTGGTGAAAAGATCTTGAGAAATGTTCACCAATTGAATGGAACTTTAATATATCTAATATCCAAAGCTGTTGTAATGTTAATGAATAAACATGCTCACAACTTGCTGAAAGTTTTAAAGCTATTAGAAACAGCAGTCGAACAAACATGTGAAACCAGTTAAAAATAACTCCATCCAATATGGCACGTTGCTTTTTGGGCGTCATAAATGTACACCATCCTTTTGTTCACACTAAAACACAATATTAACACACCGCTGAGGGACATCCTGTCAGCATGATGCACAAGTTTCACCGCATCCTCTGTAATCATATCTGTTGTGGTTGCTATCAGCGCCGTTTATGTGATTAAACCACTTGGAAACCAAAACTGAGCGCAAGGATGACCCAGTGTACGTCACTATACATAAAAGCTAGCATGAGTCCTTGAAACTGGAGTACTGTAGCAAGATTGTCTACTTGTTTGACAAAATGATTTTAAAGTATCAGGGTCAAAGTACTTTAATTCTAAAAACAAAAATGTCTTCAGTTGTTGATTGTAAGTTTGTTGTTAAGTGTTTTTTATTTTTTTATTAAAAGCATGCATGCTGATAATTCAAATGTAACCAAAATTATTGTTCATTTGAAATCTAATGCACAAATACATTTTGCTAATGTTGCTGACCTTTGACATCTTTGCTTTCAGGTGATTGGACTGTTAGATGTTTTCACGCCAGGAACAAGCTTAGAGGAGTTCAATGATGTGTAAGTCACACTTTTTCTCACTCATGTCTTTTAGGTAGTCCTCTGTCTCCTTGTTCTTCGTTCTTTCTACAGCGTCTTTCTCTGTCTCCCTTCTCCATTAAGCTCTCACACAGCTTTATTTTCCCTCATTGTCACACAGCGAAAACCTTCAGCAGATTGCAAGATTAACACGAGAGAAACTAGAGTTACAAATTTATCATAATCCTTCAGCTCAAAACTTCATGCCAATCCAGCATGTGGCGGGTTTTACCAAGGTGAATGTAGGGTGGACACAAGCACTATACACATCACAGCTAGTCTCCATGGTAACAGCCATCTGGCAGTCTCTGGGGCTACAGTGTGTATGTGCACAGAATACTCAATCAGTGTCCTTGAATTCTCCGCATGGTGTGGCGTCATCAGCATGTTGCACATTTGTGGAAATGTGAGATGAAGCTACACACACACACACACACACACACACACACAGACCCACACACACACACACCCACACACACACACACACACACCCAGCACTGATGTGACACTTCTCCTTTCATGCGACCAGTTACAAACAAAAACATTGTGAAATCAATCCTTCTATTGCAATGCAAGAAACCAGATGCATGCATATGCAGGACAGCCAATAACTGCATCTCTTGTGGTACAAGGTCAGATTGAGCAGATATACCATGCACAGACCTAACATACATACACATAACATAACTTCCACTGCAATTGGCCTCCTTCAGCTGATCTCTTGGCTGTATAAACATTCCACTATCAAAAAAAGATAAGTGAAACATTGTCCTTTTTTCCACTCTTCATATCATTCTCTTTCTAATTCTCCCATTCTTTAAGAATATAAATTATTTATTTAATAAAAAGTTACAAACAGAATGGTAATGCAGACATCGTGTAAATGAAATCAGTGTTTTATAAAGTCCTTATTGCAGATAGTGATACAATTATTTTAAAAGCATTTTTGAATTAAAGAAAGGCACAGAAGACAAAGACATGCAGACATCCTGAGAGCACATCTAATCAACTTGCAGGTACTTGGTGACCCACCTAATGGGTGCAGACCTCAACAACATCGTCAAGTGTCAGAAGCTGACTGACGACCACGTCCAGTTCCTCATCTACCAGATTCTCAGAGGCTTAAAGGTCAGTGAAGCTCCTGGCTTAACACAAAAATTCAGTCCAACGATGCTGCCTTACTCCTTATCCTGATAAGTAGGTTGTTTTACTAGACTGATGTGAAACACAATCTTTGTGTACTGACTTCTCCTTTATCAGGATATTAGAAATACTAAATATTATTTTTTCCAATTTGGTAGATGTAGAAACATACTAGAGATTTAGTTTAGTTTTAGAAACTATACTCTGTAAGTCCAACTGATGGCCCATTGAATAAAAATTGGCCTAGATAAAGTTTTTCTGTCTGACTTTGGTCCTTGCAATAAACTCTGTTTTGACAACTGAATTCTGTCATCTGACACAATAACCCCAAAGTAAAAAGTCAGAAGTTCCTGTCAATCATCAATTCTGATGGGACATAATACTTGAGGTTCATCACCATGATTGCTGAACCCTCTTTGTAATGTTTAAGTAGACTTCTGTCTCTGGTATTGATCATTTTTATTGATATATGCTGTCTTTTAGTATTGTACTCTGCTCTATGTGTACCAGTTCCACCACTGTAGATTTAAAGGTCCATTGTGTAACATTTAGGAGGATCTATTAGCATAATTGGAATATAGTATGCATCACTATGGTAGTATAGTTAAATACATAACTAGTGTATTCTCACCTGAAAATAAGAATCGTTGTGTTTTTGTTACCTTAAAAGAGCCTTTTATATCTACAGACACCACTGGTCGCCTTCCATGAAGGCCGCCATGTTGAACCACATGTTTCTACTGCAGGGTCGTTCACATTTTTCAGCCACAGTAATTTTTTCACTTGGAAGGGGAGGGTGAAGCGAGCGGGTTGCAGTATGCAACTAAACTGCTAGACGCCACTAAATCCTACACTGTTCCTGATGGTTACACATAGTAACACACAGTAAACTATGTTTAAATAGCAAATTAAATACACTTTCAGTTGTGATTTAAGTTGTATATAAGTTTAATAATCGTTATTTTGTTCTTTTCCCCCCACAGTACATCCATTCTGCAGACATCATCCACAGAGTAAGATTCTCCTGAAGTTGATTTTTGACCATTTTGACCTTTGATCAATCTTACTCATTACCAGAAGGCTACAATCAATACAGCACTAGCTGATCCTATATGATGTTTGGTTAACATTAACAGGGAAAAACAGATAGCAGGACATCTGTCTGTTGCTTGTGTATCCTGTCTTGACTTTTCCTTCTTTCCCCTTTCCTCTTCAGGACTTGAAGCCCAGTAATCTGGCTGTGAATGAAGACTGTGAGCTCAAGGTAAGAAAAATAGTTGACTTAAAGCAAAGTTCACTATGTATGATTTAGATGATCATGTACACGGCGACAAATAAAATCCCTTCGTCCCTCAGATCCTGGACTTTGGTTTGGCACGGCACACAGATGATGAAATGACAGGCTATGTAGCCACCCGGTGGTACCGAGCCCCAGAGATCATGCTCAACTGGATGCACTACAACATGACAGGTAAACAAAGAGATTTAATTATAAAGTTTTGGGCAACTGAATGTATCATTACATCATGTGCAATTTTACCCAATTGGAATTGTACTGAAATAGGTTGTTGTGATCTGTGGGTTTAGTTTGTGGTTGTTGTAATTCACAAAATGTAGATATATAAAAACATAATTTCTGCAGATATATGTAGCTTTTTCTTCTGCAGCGTCGCTTGTTAAGAATTTATTACAAAAGAAATGATGAGGGCCATTAAAGAGAAACTAGGCCGGCTTTTCAATTTTCTGGTGCATTCAACGTGACGTCAAAGCAGAACACTACGCCAAAGCACCCATAGCAGTTGTCTTAGATGGCTTGTGATGTTGGTATAAATGGTCAAATAAATTACTTGTGTTGCCTTTTGCTGTCTCAACAGTTGTAAGGCACTTTTGATAGAGTGCCTGTTGTTGCACCACTCTATAATTTTTTAGCAGCTTTAGCAATTTGTGATGAAAAAAAATGATGACTCCCACAATAATCGTGAATCATATCCCAATCACAATATCTGTCAAAACAATCGCGATATAATGTTTTCACCATATCGTGCAGCCCTATATTAAAGCATCTTGTATTGTATTTGTTTAATCCCTGTATAAGTCCCATGATCAGCCTTTTATTATATTATTACATTATGCTTTTGAAAACTTGAGCTTGGGATAAAAAGCAAGGCACATACAAAAGTGACTAACGAATATAATGTAACTGACACTAAATATGAAACATACACGTACATATTCTTAAGTATTCACTCCACGTTTTTCTTCATTACATGTAATAGTGGATATCTGGTCGGTGGGCTGCATCATGGCTGAACTACTTACTGGACGGACGCTCTTCCCTGGCACAGACCGTATCCTTCCACCATTGTCACTGCAATGTAATAAATAAACTGAACTGTAGGTCTTTGGTAGATCTGGATGGATAAATATTGTTCTTTTGTGTATATGCTCGTTGTTTGATTTCCCTGCATTCAAGGCTATAACAAACTGCTGCTTTGTTGCAAAGACCACAGTGTTTCAAACACACACACAATTTTACATACTTCAAGCTTACTTAGATACATTGCTGAGTATTGACTTTTATGAGCTGCTCAGAATAGTCAAGGAAACTTGACTAGAGGGAGGGAGAGAGAGTATGTGCATGCATGTGATAGGAGTTATACTCTCCTGCGGTCTGTGACTAAGCACTGCCCACTGTTGTCTCCACTGCTTCTCCAAGATACAGTACATCTTCCTGTTTCCCTCCCACAGAGCTTCCCATGCACAGCAGCAGAACGTAACAGTATTTCAATACAAAAACACACAGGAAGGCGCTGTGAGACGCTGACTACTGAGGTCACAGTCCTGTTAAAGATTAAAAACATGGGCTTGCTATTGTATAATGTGTTTGTGATTCCTCCTCTAAATGATCAGTGAAGCCATTCACTCTGTCACTGCATGCTCCGTGGGTGTGTGTGTGTGTTTCTTTGAATGTGAGCCCTCTCACCAAATCTAGAGAGGTGGTGGATCTACCCACCTACGAAGAAGCATATTTTAATATAGAGAGTACTATAGTCTTTCTGGACTGCCTTGTTTTACCTGTCTCAATGAAAGATCTTTGCACAGCTGTATATATGGTTCTCGTGGGAGGAAATCAGAGCTAAAACGTCCAGAATGAGATCACGCATCTTATAAGCTGCTCCTCACTTAAACTGAAAGCACAGCATGCAGGAGCTGTGCACAGTACGTGTGCCTTTTTAGTATTAAAGAATAATCTACTAATGATTGCTGACATTTTCAAATTTGAATAATAGATCAGCTACATGCACTTTATGTGGTTTTGAGATCACTGGTATCACCAAATAACTTTGCTTACATTTCTGATTGCTTGTGTAAGCTGCAGTTATTATTCAATTCAGAAATAAATCTGCAACCATTGTGATAGTGATCAGTTAATAGGTTTTTTTTTTTTTTAGTTTCTTTGCTTAAAAAAACATTCTTAGGTTCCCTAATGTAACAACTTGCTGCATTTCACTTTTCTATATGATTTGTAGATTGAAATGGGTTTTTGCTATTGACGTTTCAGTGTAAATGCTAACAATTAGTTAGATTGATACAATTTGCAGATCGATAATGAAAATTAGTTCCTTGCATTTTGCTTGTAGTGTAGTTTTGCCTAATTAAACCACAATCTAACCTTTGGTAATAACACATCAGTTATGTTTTTTCACCATCCAGTGCTGTAATCAGTATCAGTTATGCATCGCAGTGTAAATACTTGAGTTATTAACACCTGGGCTGCCTTTTGTTCTTTTAAAATTTTGAATATATGAAAGAAGATTTTCAGACACAGATGACAGCTCTGACTGTTGTACCTCTCACCCCTCTCTCCTTCTCCAACACCCTCCATCCCTCCTGTTTTCCTTCATGTGAGTGTGGTAGACATTGATCAGTTGAAGCTTATAATGATGCTGGTTGGAACCCCAGGGCCCGAGCTCTTGATGAAAATCTCTTCGGAGTCTGTGAGTGTCAAGTACCATCCCACCCAGTTCTGTCACACTGCCCCTCCTGCCTGCGTTTGTGTTGCCTCTGTGTTACCCTGACAAGAGTTAGACGGTCCACTTTACTACTTTTGAATTGCTACTACTTCTTCTAAACTGCACCTGTTTTGCTCTGAAATTGTGTGTTTTTCTTAATGGCTTTATATGCACTTGGGCTTTGGTTCCCACTTCTTTCCAGCATGTGCTATGAACTGCAACAGTCTAATCTATTAAGAAGCCTCTAGTGCAGCGCTGGGTTACAGTGTCCATAAATCTCTTTTAATATCCGAACCCTGGATACTAAATTATCGGTCATAGTCAGGCGAGGGTTGTTGTATACCAAAGCTCAAACTGTCTTAAATCCTCTTCAACCTCACCCTGTGTGTGTTTCTTCCCCCCCTTTTCCACCCCTCCATACACAAACTACCCCAACCACCCCATGCTTTTTGACATGCTGACCATGTTATGATGCCCCTTGACTCAAAAGCTTAAGATATAAACCAGCTGCAGCAGATAATGCGCCTGACGGGGACGCCCCCAGCCTCCCTCATAAGCAGGATGCCCAGCCATGAGGTGAGACACATGCCCTCCGCCTTCCCAAGTGCCCCCGATCTTCGCACCCCCAGCTGGAATTAGGGCACCGGCGGATATCCACGGTCCTGTTTACAGACAGATACCGTTAGACCTGATGTGTTGTTTTTAAGTATTTCTTACCTTTTGCATTTGTCTTCGTATCGGCCTCTGCTCTCACTCCACTTACTCCACCTTTTTCCTCTCTGACTCACTGTGTTTGTCTCAGCAAGGCTTTCCAGTGTGCTTTGCCAGTATATTCTGATGAGCTAACTGGTAACACATATTGATTCTGAACATAAGGGCACAATGTGTAATGCGTGTAATTTGGGTCATGATTAAAGTGCTTGGAGCATGTGTTTCAGGAAGGATGTATAGTAATAATCATTTTTGTAGCATGTAAATGTAGTAAATCAATGTTATATATGTCAAAATATTAAGTCTTTTATAGCACAACCTTTTACCACCTGTGTTACTTTAAGATCTCTTACAGTTTTGCTGTTTTGTTGTATTTTTTCACACAGGCAAGGAACTACATTAACTCACTTCCCCACATGCCCAAGAGGAACTTTGCTGATGTGTTTATTGGTGCCAACCCTCTTGGTAAGTTCCTGTTTCGGCATCACACCATGGCTGACACTAGTTGTGGCTCAGTGAGTCCCTCTAGTGGTATCATCATGACAGTCAGGGTTAACCTCAATTACTGTACATGACTGTCCAGTTTAAATCATCCACTATGAGAAATACTACAGCAATGTAGTAACTGTTTTAACATCTGTCCATTAAGGTTTGATTATACATAAAGGTTTAGATGGAGGGTTTTGCTCTCTTTGCTTTTCACATACTCATCGTTGTTCTCTCATCGCTGTGTTCAAGCGGTGGACTTGCTGGAGAAAATGCTGGTGTTGGACACAGACAAGCGGATCACAGCATCTGAGGCTCTGGCACACCCGTACTTTGCCCAGTACCACGATCCAGACGACGAGCCTGAAGCGGAGCCTTACGACCAGAGTTTCGAAAGCCGTGAGCTGGAAATTGAGGAATGGAAAAGTAAGTCGGCATATTGTGGATGCCTGGCCTATAACCTGAATTTGCTGGGAAGAAAATGGGTAGATGGTTTAGGAAATGTTTAGTAAAAAAAACTCACGTACTGTTTATTGTCTCTCAGGGTTAACCTATGAGGAGGTACTCAGCTTCGAGCCACCGTCGTTCGACGGAGACGAGATGGAATCCTGAGGAGAAGGAGGAGACACCTTTTCTTCCATCTTTTGTTTTCCAAGAAACACTCTTTAAAGACTATCAGTCTCATGTGACTATCCACCACTTTCCTCACACACTCGCACAACCATGACATTCAAGTGCCTGCCGTCATTCATCTCTGGGGGACGTCGCGTTATCAGGGATAAAACTTGACATCCTATTCCTTCCGTCCCCCACTTTGCTGTTTTTGTTACCCTCCATCCCAACGCGCTGAGGCAGACTTTAATTCTCCTTATATTTTTAGTGAGCTTTTACCTCCAGACATTTGTGGTTTATATTGATCCTCTCTTTGATTCAGAAAACTAGAAATGACATGTCAGTATCTTAAAGAAAATTGGAGAAATTGAACCGCTAATGTGTATTTTATACAATTGTACTACTTACCAGTAATTAATATTCAAGGAAAAAAGATTGGGTTGAATAGTTTCAAATTGTGGTGTGTCTATCTTCCACATATCCAAATTAAATGTTATTTCTATCAATGCATAGAACATTGTATATATGACAAACAGTATTTGTACTAAGTACTTTAGTCAAACCAGTTACCGTATTTGTGTAATAGTCATAATCGCTGAGTCACACTTCAGCCGCCCCTCTGACAGTATGAATTTTATTACTCAAGTTTAGCCTAAAATGGCATATAAAAAGATATAGTATGTAATTGAATACAAGTATGTATTGCATAGGTTAAAAATCTGTAAAATATTCACTCTACATGGAAAATTCAGTACTTCATATTTCTTATTGTTGGATATGGAGGCTTACAGTGTCCCTCTCAACCAAAACATGAGTTTAAAGAGTATGCTTATGTATCCATTTCACCTACTTAACATTTGTTTCGTTTCCAATCCTTTTCTCCCATATCAATTCGTCTTTTCAGCACTTCTGATCTGTTGTTTCACAGGAATGTTTCAGTCACCATTATCGCAACCTACAGTACCACATACGCATGATGAAGCCAGATTTAGCTTATTAGTTTATTGAAATGTGATGTTTCCCACCACAACACCAACTGACAATGTACTTTAATCATATTGCATTTATAAAACACAGTACTATTAATGTTTATTGAATGTTGGGGGCGCCAGTTTGCCTCATATTTATGATCTTTTGTTATGTTGTTTGTATATCGATGTAAAAGAGAATATTATTTGTCAGAATTTAAGGTTCTTTTTATTATTTATAGAGAGCTTACTATATCAGAAACCAAATGTACCATCCATAATCTCAAACGTCAGTTAGGCCGCAGTGACTGCAGTAGCTTGTGTATCAGAGTCAACAATATGAATCATCTAGTTTTAAATCAGTTCAAACAACTCTGCTCATTTTGCAGTTGTTTCAGTTCGTTCTTTTCTGGGATTTCTGAGTTTTGAGTTTAAATTTGTTCTTGAACATTTATTTATCTTGTTGTGTTCCAGAGGTACTGCCCTCCAAAAGTATCCTATTGTCAAAGAATTTCAATAGACAGTGCAGAAATTAAAAGCAAAATATGTATTACAAGTATGTCAACATTTTGTATTGACATACAAACCACTAAACAGTAGACTCCTAGTTCGTTTTTCTTTTTCCATTAAGCATTTTAGGAGTCGGATTACAGTTATATGTGACATACAAGCTATATCCACAGTTGCTCTGGCTGATGTCAAACAATATCAGTGTCTTTACTATTTCATTTGCAACTGCTTGTTTTCATGTAGGGCTTTTTCTAATGTATTATTTTATTCTTTGTGTGTGAAATCAAGATTTGATGTTACTCCCTGATTCTGTAATATTGATTGTTTTTTGAGTAATGCTAGAACTATATTTGTCATTCATCTGAATAATTTAGCAGGGCACATGTATGTGGGAAAGAGTGTACGTTTACTCACTGGATGCTGAAGGGCAATGCTGAATCCTCATTCTTTGTAGTTTTTTTTTTTTGTTTTTTTTTAAACTGCATAAATTAGATTATTTATCTTGTCCATATCCCAATGTCACTAGTTAATTTGGTCATTGGTTCTGCTTTCTTTGCCTGAGATGTGTTCATATCTTTTTACTGTGTTCTTTACCACATGTACCAAGACAGCATGTCACCTGTAAATACCAACATTAGAAAATAAAGGCTACTATTTTTCAAACCTGTTAACAGTATGCAGAGTTTTAGTTGTCAGTGTGCCACCACTGGGTGGCAGCCATGTCAAGTAAAACCTCTGCAAACATGTAGGATGACCAATTCTGAAGGGAAAGAAGGGAAAGCAAGATAGTAATAAAATGATTATTCATTTAAATAAAACTTCAACTACCATTTATTTAAGGTATAAAATCACTTGACCTGTTAAATGAAAACACCAGACATACAAGTATGGGTATTTGCATGCATGCACACAGGCTGAATCTCAATCCTCAGTGTTAATGATATATTACTATAACAATAACTGAATCAAAGTTATTAGTTGTCGGGTACAAGTCAAAGGGGAATGAGTAAGAAAAAATGATTAACAGTACATTTGTATCCTCACCAGCTTTACATGAAATATAATTTCTAAGTCATGTGCGGGTGAATTAGATGGAGAGTCATACATAATGTAATGCTCTGATGCTTTTCTTTGGTACTCGCAGGGCCCTTCTCTAATATGGTAGGGGTCTTAGTTATGGAAGTCCATTTCCACAGAGAAAATAAACCAAATTGATTGAAGGCTCAGAATAAATATGTAAAAAAAAAAATAAAATAAATAAGCTACTTGAGATAAATTAGAAAGGACATACTGGCTGAAATTTTAGACAATGTTTTAGAATTTGACGTTTGAAACTATTCTTACAAAAGCCTTAGCGTGGTGATGCTATTGTTAGCTAACTTTATTGCTAACATATTGCTCTATAACTGACATTACTGAGGCAGTCAAGTTCAAGACTACATCATAATTTAAGGTTAGCAAGTCAAGATAATGACTGGTTGTTTTCGAGTCAGAGGTCTCTTTCATTTTTCATTTGACCAGCATGACAACAATATACATTAGTTACTGCAAATGTCATCTGCCAGCAAAACTGACTTTTTGGGTCCTTGGTGATCTGAGTCCCAGGAGCATCTAGAAATCTTGCCCATTGGGCTTGTCTGAAAAACATGGACCAAATTCAAACCTCAGCTTGCAACGCAAATAACAGAGAAATGGTTCCTGTAACAGCCATCACTGTCAGTAACAGTTACCAATAGGACAAAGTTGCCCCGGAGCCTCACATCCTCAGGCCCCCCAGAAGCACCAGATTCACGGTGTAGCAACTGGTTTTAGTTATTTAAATAATTGCACATTTGTTAGGGAATTTGCATCACAAGTACAAAATCAAGTAATGTGAGAGTTGCATTATTATTAGCAAAATGTGTGGCCCTGTGTCAAAATATAGGGTTAAGGTCTTTACTATTTTTCTTTATATTATGCTCACATGGTGCATACCAATAAAAGCATAGATTACCACAAACAAACACATTCTTATAACTCCACAACAGCACTGGTTGCACTGGATTTAATGGGACCTTGGGTGCGACAGGGTGCATACAGTTGGCCTACATACAGCACAGTAGCCTGTCAGAGCTTTGCTGTGCTGCAGATACAAAATAACACATATCCGAAAACAATCTGTATTCATGTGGCAAATGTTTTAATTTAATCGCCAGAAGATACCACATACATCAGGAATACTACTAGCTTTTGACAGCTTCTACACACTCCGCCCCCTACAGCTCAACTCAGTCCGGTCGTTCATTTTCGCGCACTTTAGAGTTTCGACAATTCCAACCGTTGTTGAACGCATCTCCTGACTGGTTATCAGCATGGAAAGAAAAGGTAACGTTGTAACTGCTCCTAAATGCGTTTTACACGTAGTACTTGAAACACGTACGGTTTTATTCAAGATATTTCAGTGGCAGACATCTTCTCATGATGATTTTAACAACTGTGACAAGCCACGTTACAGTTGGTGGAAAGTAAAAGTAGACCATGCGCTCCGCTGTGTGTGTGTATGTGTGTGTTCACGGTATGCTAGCTCTAGCCAACACACTAGCATCCGTTCGTGGACAAACATGTCTTTTTAAACTTTTATCCAGGTTGGGAGTAAAAAAAATAAGTAAGCCACAGTGTTCCTGAAACTATTGCCACAGTTACCAGGTCTCGGCATGATAGTGGATAAAACGTGTGATATTCGTAGTGAAACGCACCACGTTACTGTTAGCAGCTAACTTAAATGCCTCTCCTGTTGGACTAACACACCGCCCAGGCCGGCTTACACACACACACACACACCCTAACCCTAACCCTTACACAGCTCTTTGAGAGGCTCTTACTCCTGCTAATGTAATCTAACCCGTAAGTACGAGCTCTTTACACCTGCAGCCCGGGACACACAATCACCATATAGCCATAACAGCTTTGTGTAACATCACTGTGTCGTACTTACTGCGAGGTTTGGAGTTGAATTACTGTGTTATATCTTCACTCTTTTCTCTCTTTCTTTTTAGTACTAGCGATGCAAGCCAGGAAGAAGAGGACAAAGCCCAGGAAACCTGGCAAAAAGTAAGTTTAAATAGCACCTCCTGCTTGTTTTCATAGTTCATATTTCCGCAGTTTTCTCTCTTTAAACACAAAGCAGGAGATTCACGAGAAACTGTCCAGCTGCATTGTCTCTCTTGGTTGTAAACTTTGATCAGAATAATGCATATGGAGGTGTCCCACTTCACATCATGCAGCTGTTGGTGTGTATTGTACAGAGGGAGCTTCTGGTGGATGCAACATCACAACGTCTGCACAGTGCTTTGACTTTTATACTAAGTATGTTAAGGAAGTCATTTAATCCTACTTGAAAGCATGTTTGCTAGCACAGTGATTTCAGGTGGTTTGAGTGCTTGATTTGCCATAATAGGAGCCATTTTGCAAATTGCTCACAAGGGTTCTCACTAATGGACTTCAGTTGACATTTATAACTTAAAAGATGAAGGAACGTTTCGTTAGAATATCTATATATAGTTTCACATGGTGTGCTGTCGAAATCATCGGAAGCTGCATAACCTATTAAATATAAATAATAGTTTATTCTGACATTTAACAGAAGTCCAGAAACCAGGAAAGTGGGGACCTTTCTCTCGTATGCAAATTGGATTGAAAAAAGCCTGTAGAAATAATGCCAATAACCTCAAGGCGCCATGCCTCAATAACAGATCCATGTGGATACGTTTTGCTTTGGCAGTACGAATATGATCCAAATCAATTTATACAGTACAACCCAATAAATGCCACAAAAGGGCAACATTTCACTCTGTGTATAATAAGGTAGTTTAGTTTAGTGATGTATGCAAGATGTTAAATGTTATACATCTGCCAAAAAGCTATAACAGTAACGTATGTGTAGGTAACAAATGTAGTAGCACTTCCAGTTAACAAGTCACTTGGAAGTTGTCACCTGTTGCCGAGTCCTACAAAATGCCAACGTTGGACATTCTGCACCTTGCGGCAAATCTTGTTTGACAAGTCCTGGGTTGGGCTGCGTTCATCTAACTAGGGGACGTCAAAAATGACCTTTGTCCTTCCTCGTTTAGAAGAGTTGCTTTTTATTTTGTGATAAAATAAAATCCCATCAAACGAACAAGTTTCTCTTGTAACCCCCGTCTCAAGTAGCTAATTAGGATCAATTGCCATTGGTGACGCATCAAACGCGACACCCACAGAAGAGCAGCATTATTTGGAGCATTCAGTGCCTTTAATGAAACAGTTCGCTGCTGTTCAAAGCTAAATTTTTAAAAAAAGAAGTAAGAATGATTTTAATGTAGGTATAAAACAACATGGAATAAATGAACTGTTACTGATGACATTTCTATGAGCTGGTGGCAAAGGGCACCTGTTCATTAGAAATTCTGTTTATTTATATTTTTACACTTGGTATATCATTGATGTTTGAACGTTATCTCAGGTTAAATGTGGTCAGAAATATCCAGATGGGAACAGCAACAAATATCACAAAACAACAACAACAAAACAAAAACATTTGCAGACATAAATGAATGACAACACTGCCGGGAACTAAAAGCAAACAAAAAAGACCAATTACAGGATTGATTCAAATTAACCAGCCCACCATAAACCCACTGTGGTCTTTGTCCTGCAGTCACCTGCTTGTTCTACCTGCACACATTTGATTGATGACGTGCCGGTTATGATGTGATTTTATTTTGGGAGATTAGATTTTCTCCTCATTATACCTCCTCCCTTGTTTTACCTGTATCACAGTATCACTAACTACTAATTCCCTGCTCTCAGGCTCGTATGTTTCCCCCTCGCCCAGTTACAGCCCTCCCTTTCCACTTCTCCTCTCTACATCTCACAAGACTGCACCCAACCTTCATCTGTTTGTGCTTCACTGGATTGTTGTTTTACTTCCTCATGAGCAAACGACATAAATATACCTCCGAGTAGTGCGATATGATCTAAATCTCATATCCTGATATAGGTCATTTCATATCCACATAACAATACATATCACCTAATATAGCACAGTTTCTGTAAATTAAATGAATAGTTTATATACAGTGACCATGTGGAAAAGCCTTTTTCTTAATACATTTGAATTATATTCTGAACAAATAAAGGTACTTATATTTCATTATTTTCTCCTTTTTTCTTAAAAAAACAAAATTTTTATTTAAGCATGTAACAAAATATAAAATATTAATGTCTCAGTGTCTTCCACATAAGAGTTAAGGTATTTTAACGTCCAGCGACCCATTTAAGCGTTATCTGGTACATGGAGATAGATTTACAAGCACGGATCAGGTAAAGCATTCGGTTCCACAATGACAGGCTCATTAACTACAAGCCTCCTCCACATGTGGCTCACCTGCTTTTGTTAAAGCAGAATCACGGATGAAAAATTAGTTTTTTGGGCTTCATAAAACATACTGCTGGAGCGACACAGAGAGAGAAAGAGAAAGAGGTGGTGTGAAGTGGAGCAGAGCTGCTTGTGTTTGTATGTATGGGGGAAACAAAAAGCGAGGTGAGCTTCTTCTTCACCTTCTTCATCTTCGTAGCTTCATTGTTGACAGATGTCTTTTGGTAAATGAGATGATCACATACAGTGCAATCCGATACATAAAGCTGCAACTTGAAGTGTGAAAAAAGTGAATGGGACTGAATAGGTTGTCATTCGCTCATGATGGATTAATTAATATTTAACTATTAACAAATGATGACTATTGACACGTTTTACAATAACTGCATGGCTTTGACGCAGCAGCCTCATCACATTGTAAATGAAAACTCAAAGCTGTGTGGCTAATCTCTCCAGCTGTTACAAGGCTACAGTTTGTCCTACTTGTTGTGGTAACGTCACTTAAACTTTATTCCAGGGTTGGCTCAGAGCATCGGTTCACCATAAAATCCTGACACAAAATGCATACTTTCTGTCAATAACCATCAAGCAAGTGGCGAGCATCCAAGCATAAATGAACTCCCCTCTCTCTCTCCCTCTCTTGCCCTTGCACCCATCACGCTCCTTCCCTCCCACTTACCCGTGTCAGTCGCTCTGTTGTGGCTGCTGTGCTGAGAGGACGCAGCACAACTACTGTTCGTTTGAAGAGCCAGGGGAGAGGAGAGCAGACCCGATCCAAGTGCCACTCTCCTTTTGCCAATTTATTTATTTATTTTTTTTTTTAAAGCGTAGACTGGGGTGTAACATAGCTGTAGCCTCGTGTTGTCTGGGTCATGTGGCTCCTGGACTGGATCTTCTCCATCAATACAGCTGTTGTGAAGCTAGCCAGCGGGCTCACATGCAAGTGAGTAGTGCAATAAGTGTCATGTTTGTGTTTGTGTATGAGAGAGAGGAGGCACAGTTGAGATGTGAAAGTCAGACTTTGGTCATGTTTGTACTGCTTGTTTTATCTGTGATGATGGGAGTTTTTCAGCGTGTGTGTGTGTGTGTG